CAAAATTAATAAATCAACTTGATCTTCTTATATCATCTTAGATCTAAAAGCCTCATCAGCTATTACTGAAGGGAAGTCGATGGGATCCTATCGACAATGATATCGATTATTAATGAATCAAAGGAAGAAAAATGTATACTTCTAAAAAAAACTCTTGATCTTCTACAAGCTCTTTTAAACTCCTATTAAGTTCTTTATCTTGAAGTTCATTTTTTTGCCGTAAGACTGGTTCAATGACGAACATCCTCAATATTCTCATATTTTCTAGCTTTATCGGAGCAAACAAAACCATCAGCGACAACTAGGTAAGTTCGGTGTCAATCTTTAGGTAATATGAGGGTGACTACTCCTAAGAATGATATTGAGCCGATGGGGTCGGATGTGAATCATGGACCTTATTCAAGGGACAACCTCTCTCTCTCTATATAATGCATATCGACATAAATCTAATTATTTATCTATTCACGTTAAAAGTTTCTGGATGAATATTATAAACTTAATGCTTACCATGAATATCTAAATGTACAAGACGGATGAGTATCAATGAACCGCCAAAATTTATTCAAACAAGGAAATAAAATGTTAGACGAAAACATGTATGAATATATAACTGTTTAATTCATTTATCCGTTACTTGTTAAAAGAAACAGGCTCTTGGTATCTAAACCTTAGTCTAATCCTACATTTGTTTTGAAGTAATTCAATAGTTTTAGACACATTTCTCAATATATATATTCAGGGTTGCTTTTTTATAAACCATGGATCACGAAGAAATATGCATCCGTCCTACCTATGGCTTAATGGCTATGATTATGAATGTGTAGACTATGGACATAAAATGGAAAAAAAAAAAAAAAAAGGGACAAATACAAAAATCATAAAGTTAAAGGGAGAAGGTACAATAATAGAGGTGTGGCCATTTAATCACATGTTAATTTTCTTTAAATTGGAATGAAGATGATGAAAACGACATCACTTTGTCATTTCATTATAGCCTACCAATACGCCTTCAATTCCTTTTCATCTTTATAATGTCCGACCCCCACAAATGCATTATGTATCCTTCCACGTAGCGACGGTGATTTGTCTCGACTCGATGGGGAACTCGGTTCACCTCATCCGAACGAAGACGGGGATTTGCCGTTAAAACGGGTCCCGGGATCGGGGATCACCGGTAAACTCAAACTAACGGATATTTTTCATGGGGTTTGATTGAAGATGGAAAGTTAATCCCCATACCCGCCAGGAACTGGAGCTAGGGCCGGGGATTATAAAACCCGCTCCATCGCCATGCCTAGTTGGACGTGACACAATACCCGATTTTCAATTTGGTTAACAATTATATATTGTATCATGTTGTCTATTAATTTTTAAGATAAAAGTAAGTGTTTGCTTTTGCTTAATACTCTCTTTAGGTCCCCTAACTTTGCGATAACTACTTGTAATGTATTCATATTCTATTAACTTAAAAAAAATACTATAATATACTTTTACACTTGGATGGTTGAATCCTTAACATGCTAACTTTATAAAGTAAGGGATTGTTTACCAAACACTTACCCGATAAGTGATTACCGGTAGAATTTAACAATATTATTTACGTATAGGGTAAGATTTTAGTCCACAAAAACAACATCGTATGCAACAATTTACCCGGTAAGCGCTTACCATGGTAAGAGTCGTCGTTCTCACTTACCAGGTAAGATTCATGGTCCTTGTCTCGCTCTTACCGGGTAAAATTTTTGGTCTTTACCGTATTCATCCGGTGAGGTAGCATGGCTTGGTAAATTAAATGCTTACCAGGGTAAGTGTTTGATAAACGGTCCCTAAATGTCTTTTCAAAACGTATATTCTTTTAAAGTTAAAGTTAGGTGGTTTTTAAGATTGATAAAATATTCTACCAAATTTGATCAAGTCAAATTATATAAAACTACTAATAGACGTAACAATTGATTTATTTGTTTTTAATAATAAAGTAAAAGGGTCAAACAATTAAAGATAGAGATGAAGAGGATATAGGCGCTCTAACCCTATCGTATATATGTCATTTTCCATTCTAATGTCAATTGTCTACGATAACTATGTCACGTTTTGAATACATATTCCTACAAGTCAAAAGGTGTTGGATGAATAGATAATTGGCAACTTCCATTGTAATAAAATTGCATATAAATATTGTCAAAAGTAGTCGTCGGATAGAAAGATTTGTCACGTAAGTATTCAATACGGCCAAAGCCTAACGTAGGCATGTTTGTCTTGAAGCTCAACTTGTGAAAAAAGCAATTGGTAGAATTGAAGGAGACTTTCATTCATTCTGGTTAACAATTATGAATAATGTATCTGTAAAATTGATTATAAATAAGGGGTATGTTAAATAAACTCTTATATATTGTTAAATGTTTATGTCAATTAATTTTCTTATCACATACATTAATATCAATACTTACTTTATATTTTCAATGTATAATTTGATTTGATTTTAACATAAAATAAAACTGATGCATATACCAACATCTTGTAAATAATTATATATAAGTAAATTTTTGTATTAAATATTTATGATACAAAAACATAATAAGATTTATTATATTATGAGTAAATTACATTCTTGGTTTATGGGTTTTAATAGTCTTGGTCCCTAAAATGAAATATATATGGATTGCATTCTCATGGTTTCCAATTTATAATGTGTTGGGTCCCGAGTACTTTCTCTTTGTTAAAGTGCCCATGTACAAGGCAGACGGATGGGTATTTTGGTCATTTTAAAGTTTTTTTTTATCACTTTTAACCCTTTAAACTCATCATACTTCAAATAAAAAAAAAAACTCATCGTCCTCTTTCTTTTTCCCTCGTCTTCACCCATGAAACCCTCCTTCGATCTAACAATTGTAAGAGAAAAAAAATCCCTTATTTTATTCTACCCCTTCCCTCAATTACGATGACATTAATGTTGGTTTCTTTAGGGTTCTTGGACACTGTGACAAGTTCGAAACAACTATGATGAAATGGAATACCATGATGTCTATGTTAAGTTCCTTACCAAGTAATGATTTTGATTGTTGTTTTAAATTTCAAATGATGTCGATGAGTGTTTTTGGAATTATAGAGTCATATCCAACATTTGTAGCTTTGAAGATACACCATGGAGGGAGATTCACAAATTTCTCTGGTAGGCAGTATCTAAGAGGTAAAAATCATTTCATTGAGTTGGTTAATACATACGCCTTTTCGATGAGATGGTGTCTGAAATAGGGTATAAAACTCCAAGACCTGCTTATTATCATTTCTTAGTTACTGAAAAGACTTGGACGGTGGCCTTCATGCTTTGGGTAGTGACATGGATGTTCTAGAGATGTTAAAATTTGTGCCTCATTGCAAACTATTCAGATATACATAGAACATTGGATGAGTAGGTTAAATACTTATGACCTTAGTACTGATGTAAGTAACGTGGTTATAGAGCAGCTCCCAGATGAAGTACCACATGAATTAAATGGGAGGAAAAAGGAAGACTTGAAAAACAAAAACAATTGCTACTAGAATGGAATGATGAAGATGGAGACAATCAAAGGAGCTTAATAACCTTGGTATAATTTAAGAGACCCAGGTGTTACACAATAGAAACTTCCATCTAAGAACTTGATGTTCAAGATCTGTAGTTTTTGCTTCAATGTCCGAGCTTAATAACCCTGGTATAATTTCCATTGATCGAGAACATATTGGTGCGTCAAACCATCCACATCTTCGTTCATACCCAAAAAGTAAAAATTAGGGCAAAAACCACTAATAAAAATAACCGGTCAAAATGCTAACCATGTTTGAGCAAGTGTAGAATCGGTGTCCTGGACTTTTGGAAGTCCATGGTGTACGTATGATTGCTATTGAGCCGCAAATGCATATGTCCGGGGAGCCATTGATGGGTTTCAAGGAATAAGGCGATAGAGTTTTTGTGTTTTCGTCTGATTGGTTTAAAGGGTTTAAAAGTGATGAAACTCTAAAATAACCAAAATACCCATCGTGTGCCTTGCACATGAGTAGTTTAACGGAGAGAAATCGAATGGAGTTACGTTTAGGAACCCAACACGTTATAAAATGCAATCCTAGATATTTCATGTTAGGAACTCAGACGGTTAAAACCAATGAAGTACAGGGACCAAGAATGTAATTTTCGGTTATTTTATTATACCATTTTATATCAAAAAAGGAGTGAATAGGAAAGCAAGAAAGGAACAATTATCATCTTTTTATATTAAAAAGAAAATTCAGAATCTTGGAAAGGGAGTCGCCGGTGGAAGTCAATTATGGTGGTTAAAATTTTAACGGACGAATATGGTGGTTTCCGGTCACTGTCGTCTTTCAATCTTCCATGAAAAAATAAAAAATAAAAAATAAAAAATAAATTTCTTTTACTCTTTTCTTCATGTACACGTCAATCTTGATAAGTAAAAATTAAATTTCTCCGACACCTCTCAAATTTAATGTCATCCTGAAACTGGTGAAAAAATTTAATCGATCCCACCATTTTTCGCGGGAAATCTTTCACGTCCGCCGACGCTTTCTTCAATTCTGAGACACCTCTCCTTTTCGAGCGCTCTGTTTTTTAATCAGAAAACCCATTTGATTTGACCAATTTTTTGGATCAAATTTATAATAAACAAACCTAATCGAGATTTCGTTTTTTAATAAATATTTTTGATAGTTGGAGTAGGTGGGTTCGACTGGTTTTGGGGGCAACTTCATCAAATTTCGATTAAAGATGGAGTTGCATCACAAATCGTTCATGATTTTGGGTGCGTTTTCTTGTCTGCTCTTTTTGTTGTTTTCCCATTCCACATTCTTTATTTGATTTCTCCTTTTGTGGGTAGGTTTTTTCTTTGATTTTTGAATTTTTACAGGTGGGGTTTCTTTGACAATATTTTATTACTTTTTGTAATTTAGCAAAATCCCACGGATTTTGTGATCTTTATAATCCCTTTTTCTTTTAATTCCAATTTGCAGATAAAAGCTTCTATTCTATAGGGAGGCTGTATTTGTTCTTCTGGTTGTTTTTAGTGGCTGTTTTGCCAGCGGCTCTGCAAATTTAGTGACAGAATTAGAAAATGTTGAAGAATTTGCAGAGTTTTGATTGAGAAAAAAAAAACAGGAAATTAAACAAAAGAAGAAAAAGAAACACAATGACACTTGAGGCTGTGGATCACAATCATAATCATCAAGGTGTTGAAACGAAGAATGTTTTGGTGGGAATTCGATTTGATGAATGCGGAAGAGAGCTTCTTGATTGGGCTATCGTCAAAGTTGCAGATGCAGGGGATCGTGTAATCGCCATTAACGTTTGTCGAAATTCAGGTCTGGGTTTCCTTTTCTTGAAATTGATGGCGATTCTTGTTAATGGGTACGTATCGAATGTTTATAAAATTACGTCTAATCAACTTTAGAATATTCAATTCCAATGTTTTTCAGATTCTGTATCAAAGTACAAGACTTTGTTGGATGATTATTTGGCTGATTATGAAGGCCTTTGTGATCACAAACAGGTATTGTTTTCCAAGATTTCTTTCAACCATTAAAGATCACTCATTTCTGACCACGTGATGTGTGTCAAATTGGTGCACCAAGATGGTCTTGTTCATATCACCTTCAAAGGTCATAAAGATACAAAAGATTGAAGTTTTTAAACCCAGAGGGTTTGGTGCATTGGTTCGGTTTTAATTGAATTGGGGATGGAAAAAAGATTGAATTCTTGAACATGGGGTGGGTTTCAGGTGGACATCACAGGGCAGGTTTTGAGAGGGAATTCAGTAAGGAAAGTTTTGGTTAGAGAAGCCAAGTTTTATTCTGCAGCAGCTGTCATTGTTGGGGTTAGCAAGATCAAGGCTTTTGGGTATGTGGATCTTTGACCACCTTTTCCAACCTTTTAAACAAAACACTAATTCTGTTTCAAGATAACAAGTCTTTCCATTTGAAATTCAAAGAAAAAGATCCAGATTTGAGTTTAACTTTTGTACAGGGGTTGGCTCTCGATTGCTAAATACTGTGCGAAGAAACTACCTTTAGCTACTGAAGTGTTGGCTCTCCACAATGGGAAAGTCGTTTTCAAGAGGTTTTCTAATGGCCAACTTTCAGGTACATCACTTAAGAATTAAATGCAATCATGTTAGGCATGTGGTTTGGTTCATGTTACAATCTGATGATTCTAATGTTGCAACTTTTGTGGGGTTGGGGATGGTGTGCAAGAAAAAGACACAATAATTACACACAAAAGTTTTCAATGAATGATGATAACCAGTAGAGAATAAAAACTCATGTGCTTAACCCTAAAGCAAATATCATGTGAAAATGTGATCTTTTAAGGACTCTGATGTAGATTGGTAAACAAGGATAGAGAAATCCCGAGTACCCAGTTGCGTTGATGGGGTTTGCTCATCTGATGTAGGGCTCAATTACTGAAAAGACGGAAGTCTTTGTGTACATCATGTTTCTTTTCACTTGTGACCCAAATCTATGGCCATCCCCATGTTACCATTCATATGTTACGTTGGTATTATTTTATCCATTTTATGGCATCTCTAGATTATATGTGGCATTAAATACCAGATCTCAATATCTAGTTTCCTTTAAAAGGTTCAATGAGAGATCCAAGGCCAAGTTTCTACTTAATTGGGAACTCACATTTGAAAGACACCCGCTCGGAGTTTTGTGAGTCTGAGGCATCCGATATGGGGAGACACAGTTCTGAAGGGGTTCAAAGTTTCAAAGACGAAGATTTAAGCCCTTTTGAAATGCGAAAGAAGGCACTGAGCTCAGTTTCTGTGGTATTGGAGGACTTTGCACATCAAAGACCAGGCTGGCCTCTACTCCGAGCAAATAGTGCGTTAACCCCATCAGCAATGGAAGCTAGAAAAATGTCGGTAGTCAAGTGGGTAATGAACCTGCCAAACAGGTCCTCACCCGGAACTCCTACAACCCCTTCATCTAGTAGCGAAATTAGCCCAAAGAGCTCGGGATCCGACTATAGATCTGAATACAGCATATTCACAAACACAAGCAATGAGAGTAACACACCTAAGAGCCACGAGTTGCCTGAAATATTGAATCTTTTACTCAAAACTAACCCGTCTCGCTGCCAATGGATTGGGTTTGATCTACTGAGAGCCTCAACTTCTCACTTTGCAACAGGTATTTACACATTCTGAAGTCGGGTTTTTTTTTTGTTGCATCTTCTAAAAGTTGAACCTTTTTTGTTACGTATTGCTACTGAGTTTCTTGATTCTGAGTGCATATTCCAAGAAACCAAAAAAACTGATCTCGGAATGATTTTGATATTTTCTAAAACCTCATCTTCTTGGCAGAGAATCTGATTGGCAAAGGTGGTTGTCATCGTGTATATAAAGGGGTACTTCCTGATGGAAAAATGGTGGCCGTCAAGATCAGGAAGTCATCAAGAGAAGCATGGAAAGATTACATCCTAGAAATCGACATTATGACTTCACTAGATCACAAGAACATCACACCTCTTTTAGGGATATGCGTGGAGGACGATAACTTGATTTCTGTTTACGATCTAGTGCCTAGAGGAAATCTAGAAGACAATATTCATGGCAAGTCTCCTTGAAAAAGAGAAACACTACTGTTCTTCATAAATTGAATCTAAAACTTGTAGTTTTTTGCTGTTTATTTTCTGTATTCAGGTTTAACGAAGGATAAATCAGTTTTGTCATGGGAAGTAAGATTGAATGTAGCTACCGGAGTTGCTGAAGCTTTAAACTATTTGCATAAGGAATGTCCTAGGCCAGTAATTCATCGTGATATCAAGTCATCCAACATTCTTCTGTCGGACGAATTCGAACCACAGGTTTGTGCCTAGGTTTTACCACACGACCTAGTAATGCTTTCTGGAATCCGACCCGTAATTTCGTTTCTTGAAATCTTGTTTGCAGCTATCGGATTTTGGGCTTGCAATATGGGGACCCTCAACTTTGCCGTTCCTGAGTCACAGCGATGTAGTTGGAACATTTGGCTATCTTGCTCCGGAGTACTTTATGTACGGGAAAGTTAGTGAAAAAATTGATGTCTACTCTTTCGGCGTGGTTCTCCTGGAACTCTTGACAAGAAAAAGACCAATCAGTACAGATCCCATTAAAGGCGAAGATAGTTTGGTGATGTGGGTAAGAATGAATCTTTCTTGAAATCAATCTTGTAAATCAAGATTTTGTTTTTAATGATATGGAGTTGTATATATAGGCAAAACCGAAGCTAGAAAAGGGTGATCTAGCGAGCATAATGGATGTGGATTTGGACAAAGAAGTTGACAAAGATGAAATAGTTAGAATGGGTCTGGCAGCAATGCTTTGTTTGACACGTTCAGCTAGAAAACGTCCTACCATGGCCCAGGTTGGTAATTCTAGAACATCTGGTTTTCACAGCTTCTAGAAATTTCATGACTGACCGACCGAACCGACAATGTGTCTTCAGGTTTTAAGAATCTTACGAGGGGAGCATGATTTGGCAACTGAAAATGGTTTGGATGATAATAAGGAGGAGGATGAGGATGATGATGACGACGACGATGAAGTTTATCCAGAATCGAACGCAGAGTCTCATATGAGTCTGGCGTTTCTTGATGTTGAGGAGAAGCTGACATCGTTTGGTAGTGTGGATATAAACCAACATGCTCGACTTTCCTTAGAAGGATACTTGAGGGGAAGGTGGAGTCGAACTTCAAGCTTAGATTAGCTTTCCATCTCTTTTTCCTTCAAGTTTCTGTAAATAGTGATGATGTACAGTTCAAGGGAGAGGATACATACAACCCAATAATATATCAATACTGGGATGTAAACTTGAGGATGAATTTTCTAGTGATTTGATTTGAGAATGGCATCACAATGACAATGTAGTCGATGCTTTGATTTTGATAGCCACCCATCTTCTTCCAATAAAGAAAACGTTTACGATTGGAATCCTTTTCTTTCACAATCCAAGGATGTTTATGGTAGATTCGTTCTATCACATCCAGATGGGATATACTTATTAGTTTGGTTGTTTAGCGGACGAGTCTTTTTGAACCTCATGTGTTCCATGCAGATATGTATCATAACTCAAACAGAAAAGGCCGGTTACGAGCAAAAGGACCGGACTTTTCTGCTTGTTGGACCGCACGGGCCTTTGAAGGCAGCTTTATCTCTATAAGTAGTAGTTGCTGCAAGTCAATCATCCAAAAAAACACATGCATATGCAAGCAGAAGCATAGAAACCGAACACATGTTTGATTATGATACAACATTAATAGCCTCATACATGGTTCCTAACGGAGAAGCATTTTCAGCTGTTTAAATGTCATCGTCTTCATTATAGATAGTTTCAGCCATTTGCCATACTTGCAGAGCATTGTCTTCAGCCACACTAGATATCACCCATGGTTCGTTCTCGTTCCATGAAAAGTCTGATATCTTTGCTTTATGACCACCATGAGAGAACAACAGTTCTGGAGGTCCATCTTCAGTTTCTCCTTCCAGTTGCTCATCTCCGATCCTGTGTCAGATATAAACACCAACCATATTTAGATGCTAAATTGTTATCATCCAAAATAATCTAATTCACTTCTTTTAATACCTGTTTAGGTCCCAAACCATCAACCTTCTGTCATCTCCAGACGACGCTATCACAGTTTCATGCTTTGGGTTCCACTCTACTTGAAACACCTCCTCCCTGTCAAAACCACAGTTGACTTATCTTCTTCTCATTTCTTTTTTCTTTAAATGTAACCAAGAAAGCCAAAATGAATTAAGATTAAGATGCATACGTGTGACTACTCAAAACATGCAGAGGTGATGTTAATTTTCTCATGTCAAATAGACCAACTGTGGTATCTGAAGATGCTGTAGCCAAAACCCACTCGTTGTGTGGATTGAAAGATAAATAATTCACCTGGAACACAAGAAAAGAGACAATATTAGTAACCGAATATGAAGATGCTGTATCTAGATCCCGCTTGTTCTTTCTTCTGTAAGATTACTCTTTGTGATAAGAAAGTCACAGATTCAGGCCATATATACAGTTCATTTGCAAAATGGTTATAATTTACCAACACAAAGTGGAACTAGAAAAAGACTATTAGACAACAATTAAAAAAAAACATAACCTCTTTCTCATGAACTACAACAGATTGTTCATGTTTATTTGTGCGCAAGTCCCAAATCATTAGTTTGCAATCATCCCCAACTGATCCAAATAAACTATCATTCTTCAGATGCCATGATACATCTCCAACCACACTCCCATGATCCTGCACCGACATTTATAATTACTTCTTTAGCTGAAAGATAACACAGTAATAAACCATATATCTATTATAAGTAAAGGAAGATACTAAAAATACCTCATAAATGTATTTTGCATCAAGAACTTTATCCACAGGCATTGCAGACACATCCCACAAGCATATTTTGCAATCATTAGATCCACTCAAGAGATACCCTTCTCTAAAAGGGCTCCATGACAGCCCATAACCTTCTTTCTCATGACCCCTCAATCTCATGTCAGGTTCACAGTAATCTCCTTCATGATTTGAGAGCTGCTTCATGGAGTCGAATAGATACACTTCAGAAGAACTAGTCTTTGCAGCAATAATAGACGGATTCTGTGGCATACATCGTGCCCGGTTCACCTCCCCATCAACATGTATTTTCTGGATTATCTCTACCTACAAGTAATGACAAAATAATGGCATATCAAACATCATTCAAAATCACATGGTACCTATGAACAGAAAACAAGCCAAGCAACCAGCAAAACAAAGAACAATGCAATCATCATCCAAATACGAAAGTGTGTACAATGTCGAACTGTAGAAGCAGCAAAAACAAGGAAATTTATAATCATTACTTAAATTCCCAGGTCTTCTAATTTCCATCTTCATTCTTTGCTGAAGTTTTTACAAGTTCAACATATAAGATCAAGTTAGTAAGTTAGCCTTCTACCCGACCAAAACTGGTGCTCCATCCTTGGATGAACACTCTAACAAATCATAATTTGCTAACTATCCGACCTGTAACAACAACCAATTTCTATGTGATATTTAGCATTTCCTACTGTACTTACACGCATAGACACAAAAGTAAGAAGAGTAATTTCGCCAAAAGAGTCTTTCTGAGTCTATAAAAATACAAATCTCTCGATTCTCAAAATATTTCAATGATTGGTTTTTATTCTCAAATTTATGTGTCTACAGACTAATAATTTACTTATTTCACAGCTCAAGGAACGAAAATTTGTTTAGAACTATAAAAGCAACAGGTCGCATGACAGTGCCGATTCGTGTAAAAATGGCATAAAAGCAATTCAGAGACTGACCTTAGGGATATGGGGGTCTTGGATATTTGTATTCATAGAAGATGAAGGATTAACCGGCAAGTGGACTTCTGCGACGAGGAGGAAGTTCGGATTCTCATCGGAGGTATGAGTACCTAGAATCAATTTGTGAACAGCAAAAGAGGCGTCTTGATACGAAGAGGGCAGTGATGGGAGCCACTGGACGGTGAGAGACGGCCAATCAAGGGAGTGAGAGATGATGAGATCGTACAAAAATGGAGTATTCTTCTTCCATACACCGAATTCCTCCTCCAGTTGGTAGTCATCGCCGCCGCTATCTTCCTCCGTCCTCATTCGCTAAATTGAGTTTCCCGCGTAGATCTGGAGGAGCCGCAACCCGCAACCGCAAGCATTATATGCAAAGTGAAATGGGCTAAACTTTAAAGGCCCATTAGCTACTCTTTATGGGCTGGACCGGCCCATATCTTCTTTTCCAATTTTATTGTTTGGTTTTTGTTAACATTTAGGTGGCGTTTGTTTTTTAAGAGGTGCTGAAGTCTGAAGTCTGAATTCACTTTTGAATTTTAAGAGGTGGTGCTGAAGTCTGAAATCTGAATCAGTCAGACTGTTTGTTTTTACGTCTGAAATCTGAATCAATTCATTTCAATTAAATTTAACTGAAATATCCAATCATTTAAACGAAATTGGTGTTCAAACGATCCAAGCTCACAATGGAAATCAGAAGTGGAATCACTGTTAACATCATGAACTTGATTATGATCGTTTCCAATGCCTAATGTTTTTCCATTTCCAATRAAGGAAAARGGAAGATTGAAGAACCCTAGCTGCTAAGGAACTGAAAGCCCTTGTTTACGCTTGGTTGGTTTAAATACCCATAAATGGTTTGGATTTCTGAAGATGGAGATGGAAAAACATTAGGCATCTCGCAACACTGCCCTAAAATTGACTCGTAATCGAATCCTTCCAATGGCAACCCTAACAACGACCTCCCCGTCGTCCTCTCCAACGCCTGCCGTCGAATCGAAGCAGCCCCAAGGCAGTCCCCAAGCTTCGATTCCGAAGGATTGAACGAAATCGATGCCGAAAAACCCTAGGAGGGAGATGAAGGAGGAGGCAGTGCATCCGATGCTTTAGGAACCGGAGACGGTGATCGATCGACGATACCGACACCAGAGTGGAGAAAGGGTGGGAGGTGGTGCCGGAGTGGTGGCGGGTGGAGGTGGGGTTTAGGGAGAGAAATGGAGGTGGTGGAGGAGGGGAGCGGGGAGGAGAGGGAGAGGAACATGGCGGAGGGTAGGCGAGAGCTTGAGGCGACGCGATTAAGAGGTTTTCAGACTGCATTTTACCTCTAAATAATTCAGATGAAATCAGATGTTTTAAGCACTTAATTTAAAAAAAAAAACAAACGCACTTAATCCCTCAATGTCTGACCGATTCAGACATAAGAGGCAATTAAGTGCTTTTTTTTGAAAAACAAACAGCACCTTATACTCAATCTCAGAAAACCTCAACCAAATTTCTTATTTTGAATTAAAAAACAATCACATTTTCTTATTTTGAATAGTTTAGTTTTTAAAACTTTTTTTAAACAAAAAAAATATTAAATTTTCTCATTTTAAATGATTAAGGTTATGAATTTTTCTTTTTAAATAAGTAAATCATCGAACTTTTTTAAAATTTGTTACCTAAATTTTTTAACCCAAAAAGCTATTTGAAAACGGCTATAAGGGTTTTAGAGTAAAAAAAACCTTAAATCAATCTTACCATTCCTAACCCTACGTCATTCAAACCCCTGTCTCCTCATCGTCGTTTGCTCTCTATTATCGTTCATCATCGTTGTTAGCTCCTACCATCGATCTCACTCTTTTTTATTGTTTTTTGTTTTGTTGATTCTCCACTTTTTTTATATTTCGATATATGGTCCATTAAATTGTTGTAAAGAGGGGGAATTGAAACAGAACAGACAGATCAAAAGGATGAATATTGATGGCAAGGGCTAACAACGGTAGTGGACGGTAGAAAAAACATATAATGATGGGGCGTCAAGGAGTGGCGAGGGGGAGTGATGTTGTTGTGTGCGAAGATTTTGAATGGTGTATGTTTTGAAAACGGTAGGATTGATTTATGTTTTTTTTTAACTTTAAAATATTGTTAGTCGGTTACATGTAACTTTTGGGTTAAAAGGATACAGTTGATCAATTTTTGGAAATTCGATGGTTTATTTAGTTAAAAAAACTGTTTAGGGACTTAACATTCAAGATGAAAAAGTTTAATTGTTTTTTCATTCAAAATATAGTTTAGGAACTTAATCATTCAAAATGAGCAAGTTTAATGGTTTTTCATTAAAAAAAATTTAGGAACTAAACCATTCAAAATGAAAAAAGTTGGTTGGGTTTTTTTAAACTTATCCGCCTTCAGAATACAAGTTATCTTTGTGAGACATGACAAACCAAAAACGAAGGGACGTTTATTTGTGACTTAATTGGTTGAAAGCATGAAGTGTTTGTTCAATTTGTCATATTTTGCTATTCGTTTATTATTAGAATATTAAACTGACGACCTAATTTTTAGCCATTTACCGTGTCTTTTGTTACTTGTTTATTGTTATATAATAAGTTGGCGACATAATTTTTGGCCATTTAGAATGTCTTTTTTATTTAAACTCTGATCAATTATACAACCCCTAACCCCTAATGTTATTGACGCCTTACTGCTCCTTTCCCTCACTAAACATATCATTGTTGGTGCTCCTCACATCCCCCCGACCCTTTACTCGTCCAACCACCACTGTTGCACCCTCGCTTGTTGTTGATCAGAGATGACATGTTGCTAAATCGAAATATAATTACAAGTTCTCTGTGGACTTTGGGTTGGTTAAATATGAATTTTAACCTCCGTTATTTCAAAATGAGTTCAATAAGTTCTCAATTGATCAAAAATATTAAAGGAACAACCAAAGGTAAATGATGTGGCATAATAAGGTTTGAGAATTTACCAATTCTTGGATTGTGGTGCTAAGTTCACTATTCTACATTGATAGAAAGAAAGAAAAAAGTTCACAATTTTATGAGTATATAAGGAGAAGATGTAATTGAAATTTAAATATTTTGGGTTGTTTAAATATAAATTTTAGCCTTCGTTTTTTTCAAAACGAGTTCAAATTTTTCTCAAATATTGGATTGTGGTGATGATGATATCATCTACATAGACATGAAGGTATTGGGGTTGCTTGTGATGATGATATCATCTCCATTGACAAGAAGGTAAGTAGTGGTGGTTTTGGTGCGAGGAATGAATAGGGAGAAGTCGGCCACATAATTTTTAAAATCGGAGGTAAGAAGGAAATAACGTAGTTCTCTGTACTATGTTTGTGGTGCTTGTTTAAGACCACATAGGGCTTTGTGTAATTTACATACATAGTTTGGATGTTAGGCATCAAGGTATCCAGGCGGTTGGGTCATGTAAACATTGGTGAGAGTGCCTTGAAGAAAGCATCGTTGATGTCTAATTGTCGAAGAGACCATGCTTGACTTACTACAAGACATAAAATGAGACGAACAGTAGCCGGGTAAACAACCGGACTAAAGATTTCAGTATAGTCCAAACGACTTCGTTGGTGAAAACCTTTGGCTACTAGGCGGTCTTTGTGGCATTCAATAGTTCCATCGGGTTTGTATTTGGTTCTAAAGATCCATTTACACCCAATAACATTTTGTGAGCATGTTGGTGATACCAAGTCCCATGTCTTGTTATTAAGGAGAACATCAAACTCGACATCCATTGCTTGGCACCAAATAGGAATTTGAAGTTCTTGGGAAATGGTTTTTGGTTCGATGATGGTGTCATGAACTTGAGCATGAAGGTTCATTTTGTTTATGGGTTTTCTTATGTTGTTAAGTGAACGAGTGCTGATAGTTCTTCGAGGTGCTGGGAAGCTAATTATGATTGTGGAAGGGAGGGAGAAGAGTTAGGAGATGGAGATATTGGGTTGGGAGTCGTATTGGCATGGGTAGGTAGAGGGTAAGGAGTGGTATTAAGATGAGGAGTATTAGCATTGGGTGTAGTTGACATAGGATTGCTTAGAATAGAGATGGTGAGAGGACACCATTCATCAAGGGAGGGAGATGATGTGTTTTCAGAATTTAGTTTTGAGAAGGGAAATTCATTTTCCACAAAGTGGACATGGTGAGAGGTGAAGGTTTTTCTAGATTGAGGATTTAGACAATAATAAGCACTTTGACTTGGGGAGTATCCAACAAATATATATATATATATATATATATATATATATATATAGGGGAGCGTTCAAATAAAAACCACCTAATTTGTACAAACCGTACAAACTTCATTCAACTAATCATAATTTTTTATTTTGTTCATTTTTTTGTAATTATGAGAGGTTGATTAATTATTTTTATTGTGGATGATGTTAATCATGGATATTATCATCTTCATTATTTTAATTTTAGAGAAATACATGAAACAGTTTCATTAATTTTAGAGAAATACATGAAACAGTTTCATTAAGTAGTATATGAAACAATTTCATAACCATATATGAAACAAATTTATCAAAAAAAGTATTATATGAAACAATTTCACAAGATTAAACAATTTCATGAAATTTTTTTCATAAGATTAAACAATGAAATCGACGAATGAGAGTTGTTTTTACGGTTTTTACAAATTAGATTGGTTTTCATTTGATCGCTCCTCTCTCTCTCTCTCTCTCTCTCTATATATATATATATATGTGGTCGAGATTGTGGTTCTAGTTTGTGTTTGTTGTATGGGTGTAACCATGGATAACAAAGACAACCAAAACTTCTTAGTTTTAAGTAGTTGGGAGGTTTGGCAAATAGTTAAGTATGGTGAAGAATTTGGTAGGGTTGGAATGGGAAGACAATTTATTAAGTTGATTGTGGTCGTGGAAGCATAAGACCAATAAGTAAGAGCATAAAGGCATGAGTAAGTAATGAGAGTATAGTTTCAACAATATGTTGATGTCGGCGTTCAGAGTAGCCGTTATGTTTCGGGGTATGAGGTGGTGTGGTGTGGGGAAGCGTGTTATGCTATTAATGGATAGGAATTTTGAGGGACTCATATTCACTACCATTCTCGGAGTAAAAGGGATACAAAGGGATGTTGAAAGTATTTTTTGACCAATGATTTATATCAGAGAAAAATGTATTGTGTGTCTGATTTTTGTTATAGAGGGTAAAACCATATGTATTTTGAATAATGATCTACAAATATCAGGTAGTATTTGTAGCCATCACTAGATAGGATGGGAGAGGTCCAGAGGTCCGAAAATACACATTCTAGAGGTGCGTTTGAGGATATAGAAGAGGTGGAAAATG